GTTCTCTGGGGTTATTTTTACATACATATACATAGACCTTTATTGGCATAACACAGGAACAATAAGGCAGGCAATGGAACAAATAAATTAATAGAACGAATTAATAGATCATAAGTTACATGAAGTTACACCAACAGGGGATCATTTTTAAACTTCTCAAGAATAGTGAACTCAGTTAAAAAATATAACAATCCAAAGGAGCACAAGGGGGATTAAGATTTATGCGCCCTTACCCTTAGCTTCCAAACATAAGCTAAGAATTCAGCAACAGACAGTGTAATTGCCGAGAATTTATCAGACAATAGAATTTTAAGATCATTGTCAGTCAAATTCCTTGTGGAAGGTAAGTGGGGACTGATCAAATAGCTGTGCATGGTAGAGTATTGGGGACAGCGCAGAAGGATATGAGCAACTGAATCAGGTTCACTATAGAGACAATTACAGGTTCTATCCCTATAGGGGATACCCCTATATCTGCCTGAAACAACAGCCGAAGGAAAGAGATCTCGCTAGCATAAAAACCCACCGATAAAGTGGAATTGTTAGATTAGAGATGTACAAAGCCATAGAGGCTTGGGGGGGGGGTGTGAAAAGCGATAGAGCTTGGGGGGGAGGGAGTCAAGGAAGCGTGGAGAACAGACTCCAGAACTGCCAGCATTAATTATTTGGGCTTCCTTATCCCAAATCTTCCTCTGCACCACCTGCAAAATAGCTGTTTCGCCGCAGTTATACAGAGAATCCAAGTCAATTCCCATAGTTTTGATTTGGTGCACTATGGGTTGTGACCAGGTGGAAATATATGGATCTGCAAGAAGTTGAACAATAAGACTGTTGGGAGGGGAACTGGGTTATTTTGTTTCAGTGTACAAATCACATGAATTCATGAGGAGCCATTTAAAATTATCTCGATCCGACTTTTACCCAGTCCCACAAGAATCATGCATCCACTTCATCGGGGCCCTGCTATGGCACAAAAAGATGGTTCCGGGCTTTTATCCTCCCTGTCCCTATTTGGCTTATTTGTTCTGGCCCATTCCAGGGTGTTCCAGAAGCATTTTGGCCTGGAAAGGGTTAATAAATGCAGAATATTTCTGTGTTTTGATTTCCAAAATATTGTTCTGGAGAGCCTTTAATGCAGCCCACTGTTTTTAGGGGTACTATTTTTTTTTGTTTAATGGTCGTCCTGACCTGTTCCAGCCTGTTCCGGCTTTTACCCTGTCCCCCAAAAGAGGACATATTTCCCGACTGACTACTTCAGACAAGTGATCACTATGACAAATCTCAGTTTAAATACCCCTACTATTTAAGGTGTGATAATTGCTACTAACTAGGAATATTCCTAACCTTCCAACCCCAAAAGAGGACATTTTCATCAGTTTCTTAGAGCCCAAAAGAGGATGGACACACACGCAAAAAAAAAAGAGACCATATCCTCTAAAAAGAGGACACCTGGTAACCCTAGTTTAACAGATGCGAGGACCAAACTGGAATAACAAGGTAAGTTTATATGGTCACCATTTGTTTGGGTGTAATTCTGGGGGTGGGGGGACATAGCGAAGGAAATAAATCTATCAAAATCAGAGATTGATGGGCAGATGGACCCTCCTTAATTGCAGGATGCTGAGAGTAATTAACTGAGACCCTGATATTACACTCCATCCCTCTCCTCTCAAGCATAGAGGCAACAGTACAGCATATCAAGCATCTGCCCATCAATTTCCAATTTGTGTTTGTGTGAAAGGCACATGAAATGGTATACCCTGAATAAAATCCCGTTGGTTTTACCACCTGCTTAGATCCAA